AGCAAATCTTATGGAACTGAAGGAAGAAATAGACAAATCCACAATTATAGTTGGAGTCTTTAACATACCTCTATCATTTGATAGAACTAGATAGAAAATCATCAAGGGTTTAGAACTCCACAACACCATCAATGACAGGATATAATTAATATTTATGGAATATCCAACAACAGGATACATATGCTTTTCAAGTGACCATGAAACATACAGAAACATAGATAGACCATATCCTGGAATACAAAAAAAAATTCTTCACTTTAAAAATTTGTGGAAATATACAGTGTGTTCTCTGAAATTAATAAAGTCAGAGTAGAAATCAGGAAAAAAACAGGAAAAATCTATAAATATTTGAGCAATAAACCAATAAATAACATATTTATAAAATAAAGCATGTTTCAAAGATGAAGTCTCAGGGGAATTAAAAATACATTGAACTGAGCAAAAATGAAAATAAAACATATAAAAATGTGTGGGATGCTGCAAAAGCAGTGGTGAGAGGGAAGCTTATAGCACCAAATGCTTACATTAGACCAGAAGAAATCCCCTAATTAATAATCTAAACTCCCACCTCAAGAAACTAGAAGAGCAAAATAAGCCCAAGGCAAGCAGAAAATAGGAAATAATACAGATAAGAACAGAAATCAATGAAATTAAAAACAGGAAAAAATAGAAATCAATTAAAAGGCTGATTATTTGAAAAATATATAAAATTTAAAAACCTCTAGCAACCCTAAGAAGGAAAAGAGAGAAACCACAAATTACTGAAATCAGGAATGAAACAGCCTATCACTACGGACCCCACAGACTTCAAAATGACAACAAGGGAACACTATGAACAACTCTACTAATGTAAATGAAACCAGTTACATGAAATGGACCAATTCTCAAAAAACACTTAAGTACAACAACACTCCCAATATGAAATAGATAATACAAATAACCCTGTAACTATTTAGAAAATTAAAATTTTAACTTAACAAGTCCCCAAACTAGAATCTCCATGTCCTAGAGAATTTTACCACATGGTTAAAAAGAATTAACCCCAATTCTAAACAATCTGTCCAGAAAGTAGAAGTGGAAAGAACACATCTCTGTTCATTTTATGAAGCCCTTAGTATCCTGATACCAATTCCAGGAAAAGACAGTACAAGAAAAATACAAACTAATATCCCTCTTGAATACAGATGTAAACATCTTTATCAAAATATAAGCAACTAGAATTCAGCAATTTATAAAAATTGACACTATGACCAAGAGATGCAAGGCCAATTTGTTATTCAAAAATCAATGTTACTTATATTAAAAGACCAAAGAAGAAAAATCACATGATAATGTCAATTAATACAGATAAAGAACTTGACAAAATTCAGCACCTATTTATGATAAAATCTCCTAGAAAACTAGGAATGGCAGGGGGACTTTAGTAAAGTGCATTCACTTTGAGGTATCACCACATACCTATTATAACGGTTCAAGTAAAATGGCTGGCTAGATAGAGGAACTGGATCACTCATACATTGTTGGTGAGCACGTGAAATAGCATAGCTACTCTGGAAAAGAATTTGGAAGTTTGTTGAAAAACTAAGCATGCAGTTACCATACAATCCAGCAATTGCCTTGGTCATTTCTCCTAGAGAAATGAAAACTTATGGTCATACTAAAATTTGTAGATGGATATTCATAGCCGCCTTATTCATAATTGCCAAAAATTGGAATCAGTCCAGTTGTCCTTCATTGGACATTATTTAGAACTGTCAGTGCATGGTGATAATAAAGAGCAGACCAACTTTAGTTGGTTCTATTATTATTTTTTAATTCTCTACACACAATGCACCCCTTTATTGTCTGCACCCAGGGTGGACTGTTTTCACTGCCCTTCCCTTGGTATACCACTGCTGAGAGGTAACAGTAGTACCATCAAAGCCTGCAGTGACACTGCTGTCCCTCCACTAAAGCATGGGCCAGGCTCCCCACCCCCTGAGAAACTGACTTTAAAAATACCAGTAAATAGAGGCTATTTCTGAACCTCATTTTCATAACTCTTGCTTCCTGTTCCTAACCAGGAGCCTTGGCCCTTCTGCCCCTTAGTCAGGGTCTGTAGTCCTTGCTATTTCTTGCCAGAATGGACAGTAGAAAAAGGCTCCAAAACACCTTGGATTGTGGCTTCCCTGGGCCTCATACCCAAAGGATAAAGTTGCCATTTTGCTGGTGACAGCCCTCCTCCCCAGGGAGAGAAAATACCACACTGTTTTGAGGGAGGCTTTCTGCCTTTAATTTTCCAGTTCTAAGCAACACTTGACTGTGACCCTTTGAGGTGAAAAGCCTTGGTTTACTTTTTTAAAATCTGGAATTGCAGTGTCTCTTACCTGTAATAGAACACAACATGACATGTCGTATAAGCAGAATTAGGTATGGAGGGAGAGGGGGATTAGATGAGAGACATTCATCCAAGCAGGGAAAGATGTACTATGTTTCATCTCAGACACCCCTCCCATCTTTTGCAGTAGATACTCTAGCCGCACTGACCTTTTTTCAGTTCCTCTAATGTGCCATATTCTTTTCTGTTTCAGGGCCCTTACTAACACTATTCTCTCTGCCAAGACTGTTTTCCTCTGTGTCTGCCTGTACTCACCAGCTATCTCCTACCCATTATCCAGATCTTAGCTTAGATGTCATATCCTCACATTTTCAGAGGAGCTCTCACTGACAGCCGCCTTGACTACAGTGTCCTTTAGACTATGTTAGATCCCTTTGGTGTGTCTTTCCATTGCATTCTACATCTCATCCCTACTGCTTATTACTTAGTTTCACATGTGTTCAGAGTCTATTTTCCTCATTAGATGAAGCTTCCTGTCCACAGACTATCCTGTTCTCTGTTCTATCACTAGCACATAGTGCAGTGCCTGGCACGTGATAAATGTTCCACAAGTATTTGTTGAATAAATGTACATTTAAACCCCCTATAATTGTCATATAATCAGTGCTCTATAAGTATAGTTGTTATTATTATTCTCCAAGGGCAAATAGCTAGTCAGGGGCAGAACCAGGATTTACACCCATGTCTGAACCTAAAGCACATGTTCCTTTCACAATATGGCTTCACCTGCAGAAATGGGTTCTAGGCCCAGCACTGCCACAAACTGGCTGTATGAATTAGAGTGAGACACTGTATCGCTCTGAATCTCAGTTTTCACATCTGTAAATTGGGGTAGGGATAAGTGAAGGTTAGATTGCTCTGTATGTAATCTATGGGAGGACAATAGAAGCTTAGATAGGAAGAGCTCTAAATAGTTAATAATTGATCAGTACAAATTATTACCATCCCTCTGCAAGATAATTGAACAGGTATATCAAGAACCCTCAATATGCTTATGCCCTTTAGCCTGGATATCCCCACTCACGCAGTGTGGAATAGTAAGTGATATTAGAGAGCCCTGGGTTCAAATCCCAACATCCCATTTACTAGCTCTCTGGTGTTGGGCAAGTTACCATCCTGAACCTCAATTTCCTTCTTTACAAATGGGATAATAACACTTATCCTTTTAACCTTTTCTAAGGTAAACAGCAGTATAACTTGAAAAGAAAATTTTAAATATTGAAAGAAAATTTTATCCTATCATCCTATGCACCTAACACAATTTTTTCTGTGGTACTGTGCCATTGAGGGTCACCTCTTGAGGCAGGAGCCATAGGCTACTCTTGAAGATAGGACACAGTGACTAAAGACAGAAGCAGGCTGAGGTCAGAGGCCAGAGTCTAGGGTGTGGGACAAGAGTATTCATTGGGATGGGATGGGGCAAAGGAGAAAACCAGCTACTGAGGCACAATAAAGGGGATGCCAAATCTGAGTAATGGATAATGGCAATACAGAACCTGAAAACCAGGAAGTAGAGAGTGAGTGGGTGGGAGGACAACAGTGTGACCTAGAGGGGCCTCCTTCCAAAGTTTTGTGGCTCTTTCACTTGGGCAGTCTTCAAATGGCCTTAAAGATCCTTGAAATTGTACTCTTGCCAATTCCTTTTGTTTAGTCACATGCAGGTGTATTTTGAAATTGCGATCTTAGTGTATATATCTTTACATTAAGTAGCATATCTTCAACATTTTCCATGCCACAAGTCTTCATAATGATTCCTTTTAATGTGCCAAATATTCCAATTTTGCCTGTGGTCCAGAAAGCACAACCCTGTGTATTAACTGTTTGATTCCTCAACTTATTTCCTTAGAATAAATTCTTAAGCATGGGATAAGTGAGCCAGAGGGTATGTAACTGGAATTTAACAACCAGAAACATGTTTTATTTTTCTGAGAAAGGAAATGAGCTACAGTTCTTCCCTTCCCCTTTCCCTTCTGGAACTGATGAGGCTACCCTATAGAACTGTGCTGTCTAATATGAGAGCCATTATTCACATGTGGCTCTTTAGTCTAAATTTTAATTGAATAATTACAATTAAATACAATTCAAAATTCAGTTCCCCAGTTGCACTAGCCATATTTCACATGCACAGTAGCTACACATGCCTGGTGGCTACTGTATTAGAAAGCATAAATACAGAAAATTTCCATTCATTGTAGAAAATTTATTGGATAGTGCTGCTCTAGGGTTTCTCAAGAGGTCATGTTTGGCATCTTGGGTGGGAGTTATTTGTGATGTAGAACTTCCCTGTGCATTGAGAGAGAGGCAGTTTAGCATCTTCAGCCCATGTCCACTAAATGCCAGTAGTACTCTTCATTGAATCAATCTAACAGCTAAAACTGGTTCCATGTTTGCAAAGGCTCCATAAAGGAACAAAATATCCTCATTTGAGACTCACTGAGCTTTTATCTTAGAATAAAGAATCTGCTGCCTTAGGGTGATGGCTTCAGGTTGGCTCTATCTGAAGAGAGGGAAGCTTAGAAAGATGGCTTAAAAAGATAGCCCTGTCTCAGGGCCTATCTCTGTACTCCATTCCCCTTTTCCTTCCTTCTCCTGCTGGTCTGTTTCTTGTTTTTGGGAACTGCAGGAACAAGACCCTGCAGATGGAGAAGATTAAGACCCGTTTGAAGGCAGAGTTTGAGGCCCTTGAATCAGAAGAGAGGCACTTGAAGGAATACAAGCAAGAGATGGACCTCCTGCTGCAGGAGAAGATGGCCCATGTGGAAGAACTCCGACTGATCCATGCTGATATCAATGTGGTATGTGGCTGGCTGCCTGAAGCCTGTGTCTGGGCCCTTTGAGGAATAGGCAGTAGTGAGTACTATAGCCTTTCCATGAGATGTGGTGTGGCCAACTTGAGGGAGTAGTCATTAGACTGTGGTGAAGTAGAAGAACCCAGGAGTTCTGAGATCCAGCCACTGTCACTGATTGACTGCATATCACTGGACAAGATCCTTCTCTCTGGATCTCAGTTTTTCTCTCTGTACCTTGAGAGGGATTCAGTCACCTCTGAGGTCTCATTCAGCTCTAATGTGCTCTCATTCTGGGAGTCTGGGAGTTGAGAGCTAGCTTTGGGGGAAATCAGAGCAGGCAGATGCCTCTGGGGTCTACCTTAAATGACTCCAAAGCTTCCAACTAGGCCAAACAAATCATCTTTGCCAGTCTACCAAAATGAGGCTCCCTCATTAGAGTCTCTCTTTTGGAGACTTGGGAAGTGGGGAATGAACTGCCTGCCAAAGTGATACATTCCCTGCTTACTAGAGTTATTGCAGAGTCCAGATGATCATCTGTCTTGGGTACAGTATTGGTGATTCTTTCACCAGGGAGGGAGGGAGGAAGGTTGGATAGGCTGACCCATAGGGGCCTTTCAAACCCTTAGCGCCTATGATAATGAGAAATATTTTTAAAAAATTACTTTTGAAGGAGCTAAGTTACTTTTCTTGGGTAACTGATTTCTGTGGCAATATTTATTTTCTGATATTGCCAGGCCTAGAATCTTCAATGAAATATGAATGTAATTTGGACAGGAGTTACTTTGGATTTTATATGTCACAAGATCACAGAAAATCAGGATCTCATGAGGAGTTGGCAGTTCTGCTGCCAGCTAACCAAGGATAGAGAGCCAATGAAATAAACAATATTTTAGTCACAGAGGGGCTGAAAGTCTAGGCCAGTGGGTCTCAAACTTGAACAGGCATCAGAGTTACCCAGACAGCCTGTTAAAACACAGATTGTTGGAATCCATCCCAGAGTTTCTGATTCCTTATATCTGGAGTGATACCTGAGAATTTGCATTCTTGATGAGTTCCCAGTTGATGCTTGCTGATGCTGCTGATCCAGTGGTCACATTTGAGAATGACTGATCTAGGAGAAAGGTCACTGGTCTGGAAGGCAGATGCCATGAGTCTTTAGACTTTGCCCTTAAGAAGAATTCCTCTGCGGAATTTCCTTGTTCTGTCTCAGTCTCAATTCTCTGATCTGTAAAATGGTAGTGGGGTGCACTACATGAGCTCTAAGGGGAATTCCAGCTCTAAGATGCTATATTTGAATAATAACTACCATTCATCAAGCCTTTACTCTGTGTTAGCCCTTGTACTGAGGGTTTATATGAATTCAATCATTGAATCTTCACCAAGATTTTATGAAGTAGGTACTATTATTATCCCTGTTATACAGATGAAGAAACTGAGGCTTGACAAGAGTCACATAGAATATGTGGTAGATTGACGACTTGAACATAGATTGGTCTGGCTCTGGAGTTTGTGCTATTATCCAATCAGCTATAGAATCTCGCTAAGAATCTTGGGGTCTTTTTTCTGTGCCTACTTCACTCTGTGTTCCAGATGGAAAACACCATCAAACAGTCTGAGAATGACCTAAACAAGCTGCTAGAGTCTACCCGGCGGCTACATGATGAGTATAAACCGCTGAAGGAACATGTGGATGCTCTGCGCATGACTCTGGGCCTGCAGAGACTCCCTGACCTATGTGAAGAGGAGGAGAAGCTCTCCTTGGAGTAAGCTGCCTGCCTCCTGTCCCTGCAACATACACCACACACGCACACACACACACAGTTGTATATATACACATAAAGTTTGTTCTGAAAGTCAGTGTATCCAGTCCTAGCCCCAGGCCTGTCAGTGGCTGACTCATTACATGACCTTGGGTAAGTCTCTGTGCTGGGCTGTTGCACTGAAAGAAGGATGATTAGACTAGAATTGCTAGATGGCTTTTAAAATTCTTCATGCGGTTTTGACAATACAAGAGTATGTCTATGACTCTTTTTGTATGTGTGTGTATCTATGACTGTTAAAAGGTCACTTCCCAAGTCAAGGTCTAGAATAGATGTTCAGAAACCTTTGAAAACAGAGAAGGGTGAGCTTTCATGGTCTCCAGGGGCTAGTCTGGAACTTTATCTTAAGACCCAGAGTTAAGAAGTAGGCTCACCTTATGGAGATACAGAGTTCAGTTCAGTAGAAGGAAGCATACTTCCTTAAGGTAGAGCAGGCTGCCTGTGGAAGTGGTGAGCTTCTTATTCCTAGAAGTATGTCAGTAGAGGCCTGAGAGCACTTAATAGGAATACTGCAAACAAACATGGGATGGAGGATAGGCAAATGCTCTTTGAGGACTTTGCTAGCCCTGGGATTTCTTGATTTTCTGGGTCTGTCAGAGTTAAGGACCAGGAGGATTACACTTCCCAGAAGACAGTGAGCCTGGTACCTAGGGAGAAGAACTTTGTGCTGGAGAGGGTGCAGGAACTTTCTACAAGTGAGCCATAGCTGAAACCTCTTGGTTCTTTAGCATGGAGTTTTTAAGAGGGGCGAGGTTCTCCTTGCTTTCAGAATGATCCAGCTAATGTCTCTCATCTCAAAAGCTACTTTGAGAAGCAGAAAGCAGAGTGGCAGACAGAGCCTCAGGAGCCCCCCATCCCTGAATCCTTGGCCGCTGCAGCCGCTGCCGCCCAACAACTCCAAGTGGCTAGGAAGCAGGACACGCGGCAGACAGCCACTTTCAGGCAGCAGCCTCCACCTATGAAGGTGAGTGAGCTGGGTATGGGCTGTGGAGGAAGCAAGGTATCCTCAAGCAGCCCTGGGGAAGGTTGGGTCTGGGGCTCTGGCCTAATGTATTTGGGGTCTTCCTACAATAGGCTTTGCTTGGGACACAGAGGAAGGGGTATTATGTTATGTGCCGTAGTAGATCTGCTGGTCTTGTTGCCTCATATTCCCAGAGGGGTTAGAATGCAGGAATATTGCCAAGCTCTACTAAAGTATAATTCTCAAAAAGTTAGAAACATGGCTCATGCAAATATATAGTAAGCATGTGTCATTAATGAGGGATCCAGCATGATTACAAAGCTGGTTCCAAGAGCATTAGAGGAACAAACGATCATATAGTCAGGAAAGGAAAGGAATGCTGAAATGACTGCAAAGTTAAATCCAAAACTGGTTAATGTCCTATAAGACAATAAAACTGTAATCTTTATCTTTCTTTGGATCAGAAATAATTTGCATCTTTACTGGGCAAAAACCACTTTCACCTTATCAATATAAGTCATAGGATCTGGGTCCTGATCAATACTAAATAGCAAAACAAGGAGACATTCTCCTAAAGCAAGGGTCGGCAAACCAGAGCCTGTATAGCAAGTCTGGGTACCCACTCCCTGTTTTTGTAAACAAAGTTTTATTGACCCACACACATGTTTGTTTGTTTATATATTGTCTATGGCTTCTTCATCTAAAGCAGCTAGAGTTGAGTAGTTGCAATTAAAATCATATGACCTGAAAAGAGATTCTAAAATATTTACTATCTTGATCTTTATATAACAAGTTTACTGATATCTGTCCTAGAGAATTAAATAATCCTTGAGTGGGCCTGTTAGACCGTGCTCCAGTGTCATGCTTAATGGACCTTTAATTCTCATTTTGCCTTATTTCCAAGTTTTGGGTATTTTTCCTCAATATCCCTCTTTGACTCTCACTCCCTTATATCCTTTACATCCCTTACATCCGGCACTGATCTCGCTGCTTCGGTCTCAGTCACTGATTACTGCTCCTTCTTTTGGAGAAATCAAAATTGATTTTTGAGTCCCTGGGGATCAGAAGGATGAACCATGGCCCAGAAGAATCTAAACACTAACTTTCTTTGTCCTGTGTCCCCCACCAGGCCTGCTTGTCATGTCATCAGCAAATTCACCGGAATGCACCTATATGCCCTCTGTGCAAAGCCAAGAGTCGGTCCCGGAACCCCAAAAAGCCGAAGCGGAAGCAGGATGAATGAAGAGAGGGAGAACACATAGAGCTCTGCTGTTCATAACCCTTTCCCTTGGCCAGAGCGATTGATGTCTTGATGTGAAACACCCTTTCCCCACCTCTATGAAGTCTCCTACTTAATGTGATGGAAGCACAACCATTCTCTCACTTTGCTCTTACTTCTTTCTGCTCTTGGGGTTTCTGGTTTAGGAAGAGATGTAGTTCAGGTTCTAATGTCAGTGTATCTGGAGATCCCATCTCTGTCACCTACATTTCAATCCCTGCCCTTGTTTGTAGCTAAGGGAAGGGTGGTGGAAGGTCCAGATGTGATTCTGTCTCTTATGCCTGAGGCCTGGGGCTTACATTCTGAGGGCTGGGGATGCCCATATCCTCTTTCAGGTGAAGGCTCCAGGGTGCCCCCTCCCTGTACTTTTGCCTTAGGCTCTGAAGGAACAATAGTCTTCTTGCTGGACTTTCCTATAGGCATGTACATATACCTCCCCTACCCCTACCTTCATCTTATCCTCAAGACCCAGAGGTACCTTGGACAAGCTCTCTTTTTCATATTCATTTGAGAGGCCTGGCTATGATTATTGAATTCACCACCCCACCCCCTTGCAGTCTCCCAGATATGTTGAAGTTCTCAGGTACCACGTTGTGTCTGGGGATCCTGAAATTTGTGGGCTTTTCCCCCATAACCCTAGTTTTTATAAATCAATAGTAGAAGTTCCTCACAGTGAAATCAGGTGGCCAGACCCACTCTATAAGTCCTGCTTAACTCGTTGCCTGTCATTGGTCTGAGGATTCTACTATAGGGGCTGACTTAGGCTGGAGAGGCCCCAGGCTGACATTTGTGTTGCCTTTTATTCAAAACCATTACTCTGGCACTTAGTCAAATGGTATATCTTGGAGATCAGAGGAGTGGATTGAGATTCAAATGAATGCCGATCACGTTACACAGGTAGGTATGTGGAACTTCTACTACAGTCATCCCTCCATCTCTTGGGTCTTCCCTCTTCTCTAAGGCAGCCTCAGCTCAGGTCAGCTTTTGGCCAAGCCCTTTCCTGTGGATTGTGGAGGTGACTTTCCCTCTCAAAAGAAAAGGCACCAGGCTCCCCAAACCCTACAGCTAGTCCTTCCACCAAAGCCAGATCTCTAGTTAAGTCATTTTCAAACTTAAGGGATGGGGATGGGGACTAACTGACTGAAAAACTTTTAGCTCCAGATATCAGTCCCAGGCTGGGGAGGGGGGATATTTTTCCTTCGTTTCTTAACTGTAGTTTTAAGTTGCCCGAGTGTCTGTGTGTTCATAGTATATAAAAGGTTCCTCTGCTCTTTGAAAGTAAGAGCATTATGTCTCTACAAATTCTTTTAAATAAACATTTGTTGGTTGGAGTAAATGCTGACTGAGTGCATACTAGTGCCAGGTAATAGAAAAGATGAAATGTCCTTTCCTTTTCTGGGTAGCTCTTCTTCTTTCTTATACTCTCTACCCTACAAATGAGAAAACCAGGCACACCATTGCACAATAATTTACCCTATAATTATAATTTCCATTTATTCAGTACCTACTCTGTCAGGTCTCTATATAAGATGCTTTATATAAATGATTGTATTTGATTTTCAAAACAACCTTTCAAGCTCAGTATTCTTATTGCCATTTTCCAAAAATGTAAACTGAACCTAAGAGAAGTTAAATAACTTGTACAGTGTTAAACAAACAGCTAGTAAGAGAAGTTTCAGGATTTGAACTCAATTTGTCTGGTTCTTAAGTCTATTTGTTTTCCGTATTTTTTCTCCATGATAATTTTTTAAGCTTTTCTCCCTTTTGGGATGGATGGATGATAGGAGTAGTTAAAATAACTCTGAACTAGAAAGCAGGGACCAGGAATCCAGTGACTGATGCAGGAATGTAAAGGCCTAGTTCCCTATAGGGATATAATAGGGAATAAATCTGAAGAGCCATTCCAGCTTCACAGCTCCCCATAGGTGGACTGTAGTTTCCATTAAGACTGAGTTGCAGTTCAGCACCCTCTGTCCAATCCTGCCTTCTCTTCTCTTCTACAAGTGTTGATCCCAAGGATGCCCCAATTAATATTCTGTATATTAAACTGTCCTAGTGTTTCCCAGAAACCCAACAGTTGACAGAAACTTCTCTATGCTTCAGTGTCCTCATTTAGAAAATGGGGAAAATAATAGTACCTATTTCTGAGGCTGTTGTGAGCAATTCCAGCATATAGGAAGAACTCAGTAAGTGTTAATTTCCTTCTTCCCCTTGTGCTTCTGGCATTAGGTAAGTTGGATGACCAAAGAAAATACTGTTTGTCTTAGCTGACTTTCCTCTATTACTCCAGATTTTGTTCAGCTACAAGTCTGCTTTTGAAGTGGTCTAGACTCACTCTGGGCAAAGGGAAGACACTCAGCTGTGTGACTTGGAGTATACCTTAACCTATAGAGGCCTCAGCAAGTCCCTGTAAAGTATAGAAGTGGTCACTGTTCTGCATCCTTGGCACACTGGAGATCAGATCTGTCAATTCAGTAGTAGCACTACTAACCAGGTCAGCTATTTCTCAGGGAACACTTCTGAGTGGGAGGAGAACAATCACATGTTGAGCACCTATACCTACCAGCCACTGGATACAATGCTGCTATCTAGTGTTTTCAAGTTCTACTGCTGTAAAACAAGCAACCCCCCAAAGCTTAGTAGTAGTAGTTAGTAGAGCATGTAGTATTACATTTTACAGAGACCCAGAGGGGGAATTGACTTGCCCAAGGTCACTTAGCAGATTAAGAGCAAAGCCGCAACTAGAACTCAGGTCTTCCAATCTGGGAATAACCCAATCTGGGGCCCTCTTTACATGTTTGACATAGTGAGGATGAATTGTATACATGTTTTGTGTCAGAGGTCACTTTTACATTGAGGATAGGTGCTCACCTGACAGGGGATGTCCAGGCAATTTTAGCAATTTTGCTCTTAAAGTCCAGTTCCCTTTTACTATTATGCCCTCAACTTTCCCATAGCAATTATCAGCATGTTTGCAATGATCAATATCTCCCAAGGTTAACTCTGGGAAGGCTGTTAACTCAGGGCCAGGCACCCTTTGATCCCTTAGGTTAGTTACTTAACCTCTCCAGGCCTCCAATTTCTCATATGTGAGGCAGGGATAGTAGTAGTCCTCTCCTTGCAGCGTTGTTGTGAACATTTGATGAACTTATAATATATATAAAGTGCCTAAAACAGCACTTGAGAAGCATTCAGTCAATGATAGCTATGAGGAAGAAAATGATGACTGACTTCTTGAGAGGCCAAAGATGATGATGAGGAGAAGGAGGAAAAAGGAAGAGAAGAGGGAAGGAGAAGGGAGGGAGCAGTGGGAAGAAGAGTTGGGGTACAATAGGGAGGGGATTGCCCCCATGTAGGGCTTCCCATAGAGAGAAAGCTGATGGCTGAGAGTCATGGTTCCTTTCCTGGAGATTGACGAGACTCTGAGGTTCTACTGCTACCTGCCATTGAGTCTGTTTCATGGTTATAAAAGCCACAGACCCCTCCTAGGTACTAGGCAGAAGACCCTCTTTTCACCACATTCTTTTCTGCTGTGGCTGGGGAGGGAAGACCATCCCTAAACAAGAATTCCCCAAACGTGGTCTAAGCACATGTACACTTTTAGTGGTTTCTGTACTTCATAGCACAGGGAAATGACACTGATCCAGGGTCCAGTTGTTCCTGGGTTCAAATCCTAAATCTTTTACTTATTAGCAGTGTATTCTTGAGCAAGTTATCAAACTTCTCCAACCTCCAGTTTCCTCACCTGTAAACTAGAGATAATGCCTACTGTGTGGAGTTGCAGTGAAAATTTTAAAAACAAAGAAGGTGTGGATCACCATTCACTGGATGTCTATAATTTAGTGGGCACTGTGCTAAGTATTTTCACATGCTTTATCATATATGGGAGACAGCATAGTGTAGTGGCTAAGAGCATGGATACCAAAGTCAGAGAATCTGGATTCAACTCTCAGCAATGCCATTTGCTGACTGTGTGATCTTCAGTGAGCTCATTAACGTCATTAAACCTCATGTGTATAATGGGGGCAATAATAGAATTAACCTCATTGAATTGTTATTAGGATTAATGAGAGAATACTTACGAGTTGCACATAAAAACATTGAGTGTTTGATAAAGTAAATAAATCAAGTCTTCCTTACAGTGCCACCAACTTAGAGATGAGGAAGTTAAAGCTGGTAGAAGTCAAGTGCCTTCAGATTTGGATCTGTCTGACTCCACTAAACCACAAAAATGCTTAGAAAAGTGTACTGATGTCTGCAATTTATTTACTTTGAAGTGCATAAAAACTTAGGTGGATTGGTGGATGAATAGAAGGATAGGCATGTGATAAAATAAGCCCAGTAAAATGCTAATTGTAGGATCTAGGTGGGGGCATATGCGTGGTACCTGTAAAATTTGCTGTAGATATAAATTTCTTTATAATAAAATTTTGGGTGATAAAACATCTATCTGGTAATGTTACTTCTCTGCCTAAAAGCCATAGTTTGTTCCCTAGCATTACCCCTATATAATTTGACCTCCTGTATAATCAACATAGTTTTCACTGACCCCCTTTTGGAATTGGCAGAACACAGGTGATAATGGAGAGAGGAAGAGTGAGAGAGAGAGTGGACTATTCTAGTTTTAAAACTGAAAGTCCCACACCCCGATAAATCCCGCAGTCCTTGGCAAACTGGGATGGTTGGTAACCCTATTACACTTTTGGGCCCAGTTGTGCCTTCTTTCATTCTGGTAGTGCTAAGGGCAAACTGTCTATTGTTTCTAATCCATGTGAAAGCATGCTCAGGGGTTCTTGACAGTTTGAGCTCTGGCCCTGACCCACTCACTCTGCCATCTGAGTAGGTGTGGCCCCCTGCTGATGACAGGTGCACCTGTTACAGATTCTTTCCCCACATTGCTGTGCACACCCAATGCAGCAGTAGTTATGTCTGAGCCTTTCTTCACCATACATCACCTTAGTTCTAGACTTCTGAGCTTGAAATCCTATAACCCTGACAACTACAAGGGCCTGAGACACTGCTGTTGATCTCTAGATCCTACTGCCAGCCCCGACTCCAGACATTCTTCAACATCCAGACCAAGTAACTACACTGCCAACCAGTAGTCATCTGGGTTCCATCCAGAAAGCCAGAAAGGATGCCTCAACAGCAGGTAGGTGGTCATATTTTTTTAAACATTTTTTATTGAGTTATAATCATTTTACAGTGTTATGTCAAATTCCTGTGTAGAGCACCATTTTTCATTTATACATGAACATACATATATTCACTGTCACATTATTTTTCTCTGTGAGCTACCACAAGATCTTGTACATATTTCCCTGTGCTATACAGTATAATCTTGTTTATCTATTCCACATATGCCTGTTAGTATCTACAAATTTTGAACTCCCAGTCTGTCCCTTCCCAACCCCCACCACCTTGGCAACCACAAGTTTGTATTCTATGTCTATGAGTCTGTTTCTGATTTGTATTTATGTTTTGCCTTTTGAGATTCCACATATGAGTATTTTTCTTTCTCTTTCTGGCTTACTTCACTTAGAATGACATTCTCCGGGGACATCCGTGTTGCTGCAAATTTTGTTATGTTGTCGGTTTTTATGGCTGAATAGTATTCCATTGTATAAATACACAATGGCTTCTTTATCCAGCCATCTGTCGATGGACATTTAGGCTGTTTACATGTCTTGGCTATTGTAAATAGTGCTGCTATGAACACTGAGGTACAGGTGTCTTTTTGAAGTAGGGTTCCTTCTGGATATATGACCAAGAGCAGGTATCCTGGGTCATGTGATAAGTCTATTCCTAGTCTTTTGAGGAATCTCCATATTGTTTTTCACAGTGGCTGTACCAAACTGTATTTCCACCAGCAGTGTAGGAAGGTTCCCTTTCCTCCACAGCCTCTCCAACATTTGTCATTTGTGGACTTTTGAATGATGGCCATTCTGACTGGTGTGAGGTGATACCTCATCATAGTTTTGATTTTCATTTCTCTCATAATTAGTGATATTGAGCATTTTTTCTTATGCCTACTGATCATTCATATGTCTTCCTTGAAGAATTACTTGTTTAGGTCTTCTGCCCATTTATGCATTGGGTTGTTTGTTTTTTTCTTATTAGGTCATATAAGCTGCTTATATATTCTGGAGATCAAGCCTTCATAGGTTTCATCGTTTGCAAACATTTTCTCCCATTCTGTAGATTGTAGTATTGTTTTACTTTTAGTTTCCTTTGCTGTGCAGAAGCTTGTAAGTTTCATTAGGTCCCATTTGTTTATTCTTGCTCTATTTCTTTTGCTTGGGTAGACTACCCTAGGAGAACATTTTTGAGATGTAT